GTCACCGCACGACAAAGGGTTAAAGATCCAAGGATGGATGAGAGACGATAAAAAAAAAAAAAAAATAAAAAAAAAAAAAGGCGCATCCGGCACGTTCATGACGTCCCTGAGCAACCTGTCGGCGACCCGCAGCTGCGACGTGGGCGACATGGACGCCTCGTCCCAAACAGTAAACGAGGCGGCACGTAGAGCCTGCACTTTCCTCGATTGCATTGCAAGATACGACGGGTCTTCTTGATCGTGCGGCGCCACTCTCACGCCGAACGTAGAGTGAACCTGTGAACAGAGTAAACGCACGGAGTTGGTTTCGAATAGAATAAACGCAAACCGTGTGACGTTCGCGCGGTAATGTGTAGAACACTCACGGTCTGTCCTCCCTGGATCAACGACACGGCTATCCCAGTATAAGCCACGGAAATCACGGTCCCTCCGCGGCTCCGGATAGACGAAATCAAACAGTTGTACAGGAAGGTCTTGCCGCAACCTCCGGTTCCGGAAACGTAGATCAGCTTGGGCAATGGACGCCTGATGTCCCCGACCGCCCGCATGACGCGGTCGTATATCGTCCGCTGTTATTCGTTCAGTCGACCGACCAACTCGGCAACGTCACCGCCGCCATCGCGTTGTCGGCCGGCTCGTCCGGTATTAACAGAGCGCGATTCGGCTCGGGTAAACCGTAACCAGTGAGCTTCTTGTTTGAAGCGGCCAGGTGACGTTCCACGGCAGCCAAACACATGGCTTCGGATGTGTTCCACTTATTATTATCATTATCGTTGGAAATTGTTTTATCTGTCAACAAACGGAATTTATAATTTTTAACCGTGCAGGTATTTGTAAAAAATTGACTCGCACTAAAAGAACATTACCATTTCACGGTCCTATAAATTGTCGACGGATAATCGTAATAGTTACCCGTACTTAATGAATGATTTTTACATTTGTAAAGTCGAGATGTCGTCATACCTTAAACTCGTCGTACAGTGTCGTCAAGTCGTTGGGCGAGCAATGCAAGAGTATCGTGACGAACAGACATCTCAACTGATGCGGCGTGTCGTGGACGGAAGCTTCTCGCATACACGCCCTCCACGCGCGATCGTCTCGTAAGATGCCAAGAGCCGTCGCGGCTTCGGCGTAAGTGTGGTACACCGTACCGTCAACCGTTCTCAGGCCCTCGAAACCGGCTGGTCCCCTGTGGTACAGCAACAACGTTCTCTGTCGCATGGATATATTTGGGCGCGTTGGCGTAAACGCCATGACTTTTCCCTGCTATCCCACACGTAGTAGTTGGGTATTTCGTGATACAGGTACCGCCTAGCGTTGGCGTCGTTCCTGTTCAGTTGAAAGAATTCCGTGAGCATCGTACGCACCCCGGCGTTATAGAGCATCGCGGGAGCAGCTCACTCGTCGGAAATAAACCGGTTCCTGGCCCTGAAGGTGAACCGGTAATTTTATTACGGTGTGGCTCTGCTTTTGAATTTCAAATTTGACCAAACGCCAAAACGCTTCAGGCGGATTCACGTATCTCGTGTTCAAATAGCTGAAAAATAAAACAAAACCAATTAAATTTTTTAAACGGACTTAAATGTGATTCGCGAGTTCATGTTTTTGCTATTATACCTCTATATTTCGATGTTGATCAACACCGCGAACGTGGCCCTTGTACAGATACATTACGCTCTTCAACGAAGAGCACACCTCCACGTTG